CTCTGTCTCTCTGTCTCGCTCTGTCTTTAAAACCACAAAAAGCTATCAGGCTAAGAAACCAAACTTAGTGTCATGTTCTGTCTGTCTGTCTCTCCGCTTCAGCTCCTTAAATGTCACAATGCATCGCAGCAGTCAGTGGGTGAAGGTGACCGATGTCTTTTGGCTCATTTAAAGTCGTTTTTTTTTTTACAAGCTTTTATTGATTAACTAAAATATTATATCAGACTCCAAAAGTTACTCGGGCTGTGTCCCCCCCCCCCCAGTCCCCCGGCTAACGGGGTCTATGTTCTCCACATAGTTTCCCACTGCTTCACTGTCGCTCTGTCAATTACGTCATCTTGTCGCGCCTTCTTCCTCTGCAATGGTTTAATGGCACCCGAATGGAGGATTAGCATCACCAGCTGTTTACCTTGATGAACAAACTGGATGGAAAAGCAACATTCATTCTCAATTTCTTTTAACCATTTTCTGGAAATTCAGTCAAAATGTGAAATGTGGATATGAAATCCTGGCTCATGAATTCTCACAGAGGAATGTTTCAACTAAAAAGATATCAAGTGGAAGATACGCAGTTGACATGTGTGACTCAGACTGATGAAGCCTCCAAATAGCCTCAGCTCAACGCTGGAGGTCGTTTTTTTACACAGAACAAGGACTGTGGATTTTGTCCCCGTCGCTCACATTGAGATCAACAGATTTATTTATGACCCGTATTCACAGGAGGAACTATTACGACCAAAAAACAGTTTCCATGTAAATGTGAGTATTGTCTTAAGACAGAGTTGGAAAAAATGTGCACCTGTCCTTTAACATCAGGTAAAAAAAGAACTAAAAAGTTCACCTTCAAACTGAACGATAATTAGTGAGAGTGTTGTTTGTGTGTGTGTGTGTGTGTGTGTGTGTGTTTGTCTGCATGTTCTCACTGATGGACTCGTTCCTCCCCAGAAGCTCATGATGCCCTTCACCATTTCTCCTGCAAGATGCTCACTCCTCGTCAGTGTACCGGAGCCTGCACCTTCAAGCCTCCGCTGCTGCCTCCCTAGCGCCCGGACACCACCCTGCAACTGAACCCAGCACAGCCCAAAAAAAAAAGAACAAAAAAAAACCACACACACACACTCACACAGGTCCGCCTCGTGTTCACCCCCCCCACTTGTAACCCAAGGATTACCAACCTGCTGTATAGATACACCACTGATTTTAGCACTTGATTGAAGACTCTGAGACGGTTTTGGCAGCGACCTTTCTCCCATCCCCCCCAAAAAACTGAACTTTTGAGTAAAAGAGATCTTAAACACGGAGTTCATTTTGTGTCGTGAGTCAAAGGATTGTTGATCTGAAGCTCAAACCAAGGAGTCTCTCTGAATCAAAGCCGTCTGCTGTTTAGCTACGCTGAAAAGAAAAAAACAATACTATATACTTATACATATATATATATCACGTGACGATGTGCAATGGCTCGTATAAATGTGATATTAAGTTCAAAATGTATCTCATTATTTAGCTTTTGTTGCTTGTTTGAATGAGTTTTTACATATATTTGTTATTTATCTTGTCTTGGTTTAATTTATTGTTTAGGTTATTCATAACACTGTATATGCTGTTAAGCACTTTAAATGGGCAACCTTTCTGAATTTGACCGTGCCGTCCGATACCAAATTCTTTTATCAAAAATACGAGGGTCTTTATGTTTGAAATAGAGTTAATTATTACGAGCACTTACTTCAACAGGTTTGACGTCAAACAATGAAAGATTTTCTGTCACACAAACTTTGAAGAGATAATTTAGAAAAAAAGAAACTTCGAGTCATCTATAGATATCATGTACAGTTCAGACTGAGTATTTTAACACAATCTGATCCCTTGAGTTGCTCTGTTTCAGGGTTCTTTCTGTCATTACATGCATCTGTGAGTCACAACAGACAAAACCAAAACCTTTTCCCATCATCTGATGGTGTTTTTATAAGAAGAAGACACTGTTTGTATGAAGTGTGTGTAATATGCCACTTGCAAAAGCTGCATTTGATTTTCTCTTATTTGTTGTTTCTGACACAATCTACCCATAATTTACCCATTTATGTATGTGTACCCATGTCAATATTAATAAAATGTGAAAGCCACTTTCTGCTTTATATCCGTATACTGTTTTGCGTTTCTTCCGCTGGTGTGAGCCTGACACCTGCTGGCCTCCACACAGAAGAGCTCCTCGTGAGATGGATCATATTTCCTCTTATTGTATTTGAGTTCAACATGATCTCTTTCATTAGGCGGCTACATCAGTGCATGACATGTCCAGTCAACTTATAATGTTTGACGTGGAGTCAGGGGAGCAGGCTGATCTAATAGTGAAATCTAATTCTTCTGATGGGGGGACTAATAGATATTGATTACACGGCTCTCGTCCCTGGATGCTTCATACGGAGACAGATACTCGCATAATGTCACTGACACACAATGAATGTTAATTTTCTGTGAACGTAATTGCCCTCCGTGGCAAAGTCGGTTCCCTCTGAATACTAACAAGGCCTGCGAAGATGAACAGAACTGAGCCACGGTGGGAATGATTGGCTGCTGTAATTTATTTTTATTTAGCCGCTCATCATTAAGAAAAAAACCTGATTAGAGGAGATGATGTGGTGACAAGCATGGATGGATTATGTGACAATGTGACTCAGGGCACGGACTTGTGAAAGACCCCCCCCCCCCACACACTGCTCACACACAACAGAAAGACTCAAAAAGAGAGATTCAAAGAGATTTTTAAAAAATGATTCAAAGAGATGCGAAATGACCCCAAACGATGCAGCTGTGTGTGCTTTGCCTCTCTGTGGGGTTTTTTTATCCCCTTTTAGTTGTTTTGCATCTTTTTGTGGTGGTTTTGCTCCATCCCTTTAATCATTGTACTTCTCTTTGTGGATGTTGTCTCATTCAGTTGTGCACCTCTTTTGAGTCGATTAAATCTCTTTTTAGTAGCTTTGCCTTGTTTTTATTTGTCACTTTGCTTCCCTTTTTTGGCTGTTTTGCGTCTCTTTGCGGTTGTCTTGTGTCTCTTTGCGGTTGTGTTGCTCCTCCTTTTAATCGTTTTGCTTCTCTTTGTGACTGTTTTGCTTCTCTTTGTGACTGTTTTGCATCTCTTTGCGGTTGTCTTGTGTCTCTTTGCGGTTGTTTTGCTCCTCCTTTGAACGGCTTTGCTTCTCTTTGTGGCTGTTTTGTGTCTCTTTGTGGTTGGTTGCAGCCTCTCTTTAGTCGCTTTGGTCCTTTTACATCTCTTTGTGGATGTTTTGCATGTATTTGGGGTAATTTTGTGTCTCTTCGTGGTCATTTTGTGCTTCTTTTGAGTCTCGTTTTAGTCATTTTGTTTCTCTTTGTGACTGTTTTGTGTTTATTTGTGGTTGTTTCGTGTCTCTTTAGAGTCATTTTGTGCATCTTTATAATTATTTTATTTCTCTTTGTGGCTCTTTTGTGTCTCTTTGAGTCATTGCACCTCTTTTTTAGGCCTTTTGCATTACTGTGTGGTCCTTTTGCATCTCTTTGGGCTCACAACCCTGCGCCCGATAGGCCTGTTCAGTAATCTCCTAGCAACTTGATTTTAGGATTTTTAAAAGTTGAACCGTAACTGAAGACAGAAGGCCTGAAAGCTATACTGACTACTGGCATGATACATTATTTAATGATAATTTCATAATTATGCAATTTTAAAATTTTAAGTAGGACATAAGGCGCTCATTCAAAGTGTGCCCCGTGTTCCCACATTGTTCCATGGTGCATGCATAGGCACTGGCAATAAACTAAACCAATTAAAATACACAGTTTACACTTTATCACAACTTAATGATGTATTGTTATTGGTTTACTTGTTGAATTCGAGGGTTTGCTCCATACATATAAGAAAAAAACATTTTAAGTAATTTAAAAATGAACAACCATAGAAAAACCTTTAATTGTTGTACATTTAACATTTAAGTACTCGAAAGTAGAAATAAAAATCAAGCATTCAAAATTGTACTAAAAGGAGAGAAGTATTGACAACAACATGTACTTAAAGTATCAAAAGTAAAAATATTTTTTATGTAGAATCATTATTGAGGAGTAAATCACGTTAGCAGCAACTTTAGCTGTGAAATAAATGTACAGGAGTGCAACATATAAAGTAGAAGAAATACGCAGGTAAAGTGCCTACAATTTGTACTTAAGAACAGTAATCTTCATTTCGTTACTGGGATTCACTTTTTTATTCATAAATTATGTCCATAAACAGTTTCTCAGATGATTTTCTATATCATGACATATTTATATTGATGTAGACTGTGTATATTGATATCACAATATAGAATTACAGACACAGGATTATAATAGAGGATTTTATCCATATTGCTCATGGTGTTGTTTTAAATGTTCTTAAAGTAATCAGCTGTTAGTTTTCCTGCTGCTCCACATTAAGTGCATCTACACATTAATTCAATACAATGTAATGTCAAACATTTCTAAAGAACAACAATGTTTTATCTTCCTGTTTGGCACATTGTCTCTCACAGTGTTTGCTGTGTGTGTATAACCGACGTTTGCTGAAACATGTGTGGTTAGCGGACACCTGTCTCCTCACTGGCCATCAACAATACAACAGATGGCAGCGATACATAATGATATAATAAAACCTCTGTGATTCTCTCTTGTATGAAACAAGCAGCAGAACTTTGTCAATCGATTCTTTGTATGAACCACGAAGGGAAAGAGCTTTCTCTCATAATGGATTTGGAGATAAAGCCTAATGTGTTTGGAGTGATAGTGAACTTTTGTTCAATGTAAAACCACTAAGCAAAGATGTCATTGCTTAGGAATCAATAGGCTATACAGACTGTAATTCAGGACAAAACAGTGAGGAGGAACTGGGCCTGAGAGTTCACTTCACGTTGGTTAAATTCATCTTCATTTGAAATGATAGGGCGCCACCTACTGGCTTTATCAGCGCATCATTGTTTCTCTGGCTTTAAGTTTCTCCTGTCATAATCTCTACTTTGTACATCTTTATATGGTGATTTGTCTGACTGCTTATTATATAGAGAAGGCAGTGGCATCTAATTAAATCCCCAAGAGACACATGTCTTCAATTTCTTTCAGAGTTTTATTGCTAGAATTTTAGAAATACAAATCCAAGTTTCGCCAACATTATCTCAGAAAAGCCTTAACAATTTCAGATTTGTATGTATTCAGTTAAAGGTTCAGTTATAATTTCTATAATTCAACTCCCGGGCATGAATGTCTAAATGCTGTTTCAAAGCATTCTCTTTAGTCTGGTGTAGAAATATTTGATCTTAATTATTTGGTTTGCCAAAAAGTAGTCAATTTATAATAAATTTAGTCTAAAAATGTTTGAATTGTTACTTATATCGCCCACCATGTTAGTTGCAAATTGTGAAATGTAATGCAAGGCACATTAAACCAAAGACACAACCTTAGTGTCTTAGCTACTGTCCTGATTTTGTTCCGTTTTCTGTACTTTTGTGAGGTCTCAAAAAAGTGAAGATGAAGTCAAAATGACCAAAGGGCACATCACCAAAGAATATGAATACTTGATTTTATTACTGTGCCGTTTGCTTCAATATGGCTTGTATCTATATTTTCAGTTTAAGGTGCAGTCCAGCAATTTAGTATTGTCCTTCCATGTGTTGCTGACAAGAACAAGACTCTAGAACTTCCAAAGGACTGTAGTGGACTGAGGTGTGAATGTGCCTCCATCGATGTGTATTTTTATTTTACTGGTTGACATATATGATTATAATGAGCTGAGGTGTTTCTCCTTGTATTTGTGAGGACAGTCGTGGCTGAGTTGCTCAAATGATGAACGGAGTGTTCGTGTTATGTTGAAAATCTTAAAATAAAGGTTAAAAAAAGATGAGTTTAAATCATCTGTTTTAGTCTCTAGATCAAACACCAGAAACACTGGATTCTACACTTCCCATGATGCAACATCTTTCTGTTCCACCCTACCAGGCGCTTTAAGCCTCCAAGTTTGCAACATATGCTTTCTGTTAAAAAGAAATGTGATCTCAAACTGAAGGTTATCTTTTTTTTAGAAATGACATCACAGCTGTTTGCTCAGGCTGAGTCATACTCTCCATCATTAGTAAACTGATATCGATGAGTGAGTACAATATAAGTTATAGAAAAACAAAGAAAAAGCTCTGTGGAGCCAATCAAAATGCACTCAGTGCCACTGAGAAAACAGAACCGCTGTGTGTGCTGATATGATGCTTTTGATCTCTAAACTCACAAGAAGCACAATACTTTTAGGGGTCATGAGCTTTTCCAATGCGCAGCACAGCAGACAGTTCAGCTCCCCACAAATATTTACGAAATCATTCCTTTTGATATAATCATCGTGATTATCTTGGAACTCTCATGTACAGCTGTCTCTGCTTTTCTGCCAACTCATCTTGGAAGTTAATGTAAAAAAAATAAATTAGGAAAGGTTGTATTTGAAAGTTGGGACTCGAAATCTGAGTCATCATTACAGCAATAAGCTGATCTACTCCCCCAGTTTGAACATAGTTTTTCTTTTTGTAAGATTTTAATGATAAACTACTAAACACAATCCAAGTTAAGAATACAGCGGACTCAGCTGTTACCCAGAAATATGATCCTCTCAAGATAATAAATCGTGCTTATATGTGTGATACACTCTGGGTGCCGTTTCTGGGAATCTTTAGGAGGGTGAAAGATCAGAGTCACTTGAGCAGGTCTAATAACACCTGACTTTGGAGTTTGAAGCTTGTTCTTTTCATAAATACCAGAATAATCACTCTGCACGCCATTCTTCTCATATTGCATTTTTCAGAAAATAGCTTTTAAAGTTAGCTTAGATGACAGGCGTATTAATTATACCCTGCACACCTCTGACAAGGCCGGATGAACAGTGGAGAAGGTTGTGCATTGGGGAGATTCACATGAATCTAACATGCAGTATTTGATGTGATAGCAATAAATCTATACTATGACAGAACAAAAGTTTGTTGAAATGTGCTCAGAATCTAAATATAGCCTCTAGATGCATCTCTCTTTTGAAATATTGTGTTTCCAAAAATGTTTAAGGTTCCAAGCACCAGTTATTAAAAATACAAGAGATTAAGTGTGATAGTTGTATCTTGAAAAGAATGACTTTCTTAAAATCAAAAATACGGTTTAAATAAGGTTTCATTCTGGTAAAAGCCACCAATTGTGTGACTACGCAGGTCTCTGCACTGTAAGAATCCATTATCAAGCTTTGATTGTGGGAATGAAGGACTCCCATCTATGAGGAGCAAGACAGAGAGCGAACTAATGAGTCCATTTTTAATACAAGCCTAAGACAAATGCATTATTTATGTGCATTATTTATAAAGGCTTTTTCCCATTAGAACAAAGGGAAGAAGAGTGGATCTATTGCAATTTGTCAGACTTATTCTAATCATCCAGACGGTAGAAATTGACTACCAGTAGTTACAAAGGCTGGATGGAAGAATAGATTTAAATCGTTGTTGGTGAAGAATGATTCAACCCACCTGCGGACTCATCTGGGCCAGATATGTGTCCAACCTGGCACTGCAGGCCTTTAGTCCGCACTGGAATATGGAATATGAGCTGAGGATTTTGAGGTGTGGCGCTGGTAGCACAGTTTTATAAGATGGCAAAGAAGATGAAGGTCTTTTGTTGATATTTGAGACACAGACTGTTTGGCCCACAATGTTATATGCCAGAGATGCTTTTTTTTCAATAACACTACCTTTTTGTTGTTGTATTTTTGAAACAAAACCTAGTGGAATTATTTGATGGAATCATTTCTTACGGGAGAGTTTCAAAATCATGTAATGGTCGCTTTTGTAATAAGTGCAGACAGAGAAACAGGTGAAAGGAAACTGAGTTTTAGAGATAAGTTATAAAAAGAAAACATTGCATGAACTTTAGTTAAATTTCTAGCTGACATTTATAGGCTACTTTCAACAAGTTAGGACTCAAGAAACCAAATGTGAGTACATTGCATGATTATGATGATGATGATGACGATGATTATTATTATTATTGTTGTTGTTATTATTGTTATTAGATAAGATAAGATAATATAATCCTTTATTAGTCCCGCAGTGGTGAAATTTACAGGATTACAGCAGCATAGTGGATAGTGCAAACAAGAGACATAGTAAAAAATACAAGATCACTTATAAATGAGTAAATAAGTAATAAAACAGTAAAGTATATTACATATACAGACAGAATAATTGTTTTGTTGTAATATTATATATTATTATTATCGTTATTATCATTATAATATTACTTTTTATAACATTCTAAAAAACAAAAATCGAAACCCTTTTTTCCTCCCTTCATTTGTGTTCCTGAACGCTTCCCTATGGCTCTGTGCACGTTCACGCAGCAGCTCCTGCGCGTCCCAGTCATGTGACAGCACCTCAGCACGCATGCGCAAAAAAAAAAAAAAAAAAAAAAAAATACAAGATGGCGGAGAGTGCGGAATTGAAGGTAAGAGCCGCAGCCTGAAATCATTACAAATTTAACTCGGTTACCGAGCGTCTGATTTTCAAGTCACTCAGCGCGTCAGGGATTTTAAAGCCTCGGGAGGATGAGACGTTGTCAGAATTTAATGTTTATCCTTCAAACAACTTAATTGAATCCGCGAGCGCCAAAAGCTTGCACGAGCATGTTTATGTTGATATTGAGACGCGCTGGTTTGGCTGAACGGGACCGTTTCTACAGCAGTAGCAGCAGCTGGCAGGGCGGCTTTTTTTACTTTACAACCCACCTTCTGTGTGTTGTTTTAACGCAGAAGACAGCGGCTCACCTGTGGGCATCATAACCGCCTCATGCCGGTGTGTTTTGTTTTATACTTTAATGAGAAAATAGCGCTAGAAATAACACTTAGTCGCGCGCGACGTCTTTGAATGTGACAGCAGCTTGAAAACAAGCCCACATGGACAGATCATTTTATTATTATTCCTCCTATATTGAATGATCATACAGTCCATGCCACCTGACAGATGCTCGAGTCTGTATGCAGCTAAAGTAACGTTACCTGGCCTGTTCGTTACTACCTGCGTGACGCACCCTACCTGTTGAACACGTGCATAATAAACGTGTAACGGTGCACTGGTTGATTCACCGTTATAATCAGCAACGGACACATCATTTACTTAAATAAAAGTAGTAATACCACACAGAGAAAGCACTCCACCACAAGTAAAAGTGCATTAAAAAACGTAAAAGTATACAAGTACAATTAGAAGATTATACTTTAATGTTTAAAGTTGTGGTAATTTTAACTAGGCCTACTTTATTTACTGTTGGAGAGTTTAATCCACAACGATGCATCACATTCAATAAAATCATCATATGTCAGTAGCTTCTCTGTCAACTTATCACAAGCTCAGGAAAACAGCCCTGATTTCAGCTTTTAAAGACAGTTTTTTAAATATTTTATTCAGATTAAGAAGTATGAGAATGTTCTCAACACATAAAAGAACAGGTCATCCTTCAGTTCATCACAATCATTAAAGATCAACATGTCTGGAGATGCATGGTTTGCAAAACTGTGATCTGAAAGGAAACTAAAGCTGTCAGACAAGTGCAGTGGACTCAAAGGTGATGTATTTACCGCTGAGGTGCGAGTGTAAAGCTGCAGACAGTGGAAATACTAAGTACAAGTAGCTCAAATTTGTACTTGAGTAAATGTACTTTTGTTACTTTGCATTGATCCCAGGTGCACCTTGCCTTCTACATCACTGTGTTTGCTGTGTAGCTGCACTGAAGCACTGATTCTTTTAATTAATCGTTATAAAGCAGAGTTGGAAAATATCTAGCAGTTATTGATCAGAGTCTTTGGCTATTTTTAGACATTTCCCTGCTGTGTTTCCTCAGCCTGCTCGGGCTCTGTGGATCTATACATGCTCCTCTGTGCCAGCTGCTGCTCTGCTGCTGTACAGCCTCCTTTGAAGAGCCAGATGTGGTCCTACTATAGTTGATTTAAGACTTTCCCCTCTTATTGAAAGTGCACTTCTTTATGGAGAGATGGTTACAGCACCTTGAACTTCTCATTTTCATAATGTCAGCTACATATGTGTGTGTGTGTGGGGGGGGGGGGGGGGGGGTTGTTTCTATAAACTAATCACGTGATGCCTTCAAATACTTCTGTATTGTCCAACCATCCTAAATCCCAAAGCAAAGAAAGTCTGTAAATCCTCACGTATTGGAAGCTGAAACCAGAACATAGTTTGTGTGAAAGAAATGATAAATTTATTATGAAAACAGTTGCTGATTGAGCTCCAGTTTATCAGGTAGTCGATTCAGCTCTAGTGATATGATAGTTTGGCTTCACCTGCTTTATTGTTCTGATTGTAGTTTCGATTGGTTTGGGCAAAATTATCTAATTTAGCACGTAGTCCAAAAACACCATTAATCATTTGGCCTATTAAATCCAAATTAATTCAGTTTACTAAAGTAGCACATATTCACAGCTGAGAGGCTAAAACGAGGGAATGTTTGGTAAAAACTATTGATTATAAATGGTTTTAATTCTCAATATCTACTGGTTTGCACTCAGTGTTGCCAGATTGAACTGGCTTCCGCCTAATTGGGCAACTTCTGATTAAGTTGCGTTCGGCTAGTAGGTCAACATTCGGCGGGGTTTTTAAAGGATATTACGCCGACAATTTTACCAAACAAGATGTCATTTTATCGTCAAAAATACACACACAGAGTTACATGAGATTACTGACTCGTTTTATTTGAGAAATATGTGATTTTTTTATTCAATCGTTGCTTCATACCTTGACGTCATCATCATTGACGATGGGAGTTTGTGCATTTGGTTGTCTGACTCTTTGTGGGTTTTGCCAGTTTATTTATGTGAAAGCCTCTGATATTGCCCCCCCCCCCCCAAATGTGTCCTTGTTGCATCGCATTTCGTTTCACAGGAGTCTTCTCTCTTCTTTGAACCGTCTTCTCTGTTCTGTGGAGCTGCTGCAGCAGCAACCTGGCATTACAAATAAGCGTCTGTGCGCTGGCGGCTTATAGGTGGAGACAGTCTATTTGTAGAGCCTGTGGCGAGGTTAATCCCTAATGATACAGGCCCTCGTCTCTGCTCCCCTACATCCTTTCAAACACCTGCCTATTGCTCTGTTTGTCATTGTCATTATCACTGCAGTTCATTTCCAGTTTAAGGAGAATTAGACGTCACCGGAGTGAACGATCACTGTCGGTGTATTTAAAGCTCAATCCCGGTAATTAAGAGTTAGATTTTGTGTCATCTCAGACAAAAAAGAAAGTACTGGAAATGTAGAAATCAGACAGATGATGATCGGTGGATGTATGACACTGAATAGCAGAATGTAAAAAGCTCACAATGTGAAACGTGATGCAGATGTTGCAGATGTCTCGTCTGAGGTCTCCAGCGTTGAACCGATTGTTTGTAGAGAGTTTATTGCCTTTTTCCTCGTTCTCTGCAGTTAGTGAAGTTTATCAGACAGGCTGCCGGAAACGTGCTTTCACACTTCACACCACGCTGCATTATATATATACACATATATATATGTATATATATATATGTGTATATATATATATATATATGTATATATATATATATATATATGTATATATATATATATATATATGTATATATATATATATATATATATATGCTCAGCCGGGTGTGTTCAGCCACATTTGAGCTCTTATTGTTGTTGGATATTTTTGCCCTCGTGAGAGCACGTCTCGTCTGCAGCCACTGACTTCTGTTCGTCTTTCGGCGCGATGGAGCCGTTTCTTCACTCCTGTGGCGATTTTGTTCCTGTTGTCGTGGAAACATGTCACATTTGAGACAGACATGGGCAGGCAGCAGTCTGAAGCTCGCCCGTGTTTCCAACCGGAGGGAGAGAGACGGGCCTTTCACTGTTCAGAGAGGGTTTTTAGTGTGAATCAAGAGGGATAAAAATAGACATATTGTCATCAGATTTCTTAATTTACAGTCACTTAATGGACGGTCTGGCTTGCATCACTGGTTGTGTGTGTGTGTGTGTTCTGGGGTGTTTGTCCAGAAGTGACTGCCTAAATGCAGGTAAAGGTCTCAAGGAAACAACAAGGATTAAAGGGAGATGCTGTCTTAACACATCAAATGTATCTGTCACTTTGAGATATAGGAGTATTTTGTCTTACGTTTGAAGATAAATGAAAAATACATCGAAAGAATAGAAAGACACTTGTGCTCTCCATCAGGTTTTAGTCTTAACGTCGCATCACGACACCTGCAGCCCCACAGTGCTTCGTCTCAGGTCGACAGAGTGTTTGTGAATCTCTGGGAAAATTACACAGACTGGAAAAGAGTCCTGAAAGGGTTAATGGTTAATAATATAAGTGAGCGCACGCCGTGGCCTCGCCAGCGACCTGTGACCTGAGGGACGGCAGCTTAAGACACTGATTCACCAAACGCTCTTTATTCTCCAGGAAGTAGCCCGCCCCCAGCGGAACATGCCTCAGCTTTGTATGTTCTAACATTGAAGGATAGAGTAAAAGAAAACGTTGTGGTGCTCGGGAGAATAAAGGTGTTTTTTATACAATAGGTTATGAGCTCTGTGTGATACCAGCAGATGATTGTAGGGAACCAAACCACAACAGCGCCCGTGATAATAATGAATTGATTTCCTACGATTGTGGCTTTGTTTTCTTTGACTAATCCATTAGTTCAGTGTGTGCAGTGACAGTGGAGTGAAGGAAGGCGAGATGATGCTCGGAGAGTCAGAGAAGTCACATTTAGGTCAATATTGAAAACTGATAAATGTTACTAGTTTGGTCTATTTTGCGTAATTACAAAAGAATAGTCGTGTCTAAAATAAGCTTGTATAAAGCACTGGTGTGCATTACGATACCTTTAACTGTTACTCGAAGCGTAACAGCCTGTCGTCTGCCGTACAGCTCGTTACTATTAACACTTGCAAGTATCAATGAATATCTTTAATTCAGAGTTAATGTTCATTTAAAACGTATGCCTGTTAAGCTGACAGTCACAACACTAATACTTATCACAATAAAGCTGATCATTTACTTACAAATACAGGAAAATCTTTTTCTTTGAAGTGATTAAACCATTTTGAGAAATTGGCAACCAATTGTTGGTCTTTGATTGTCAGTGGGAACCCCATTATAACATGTAAAGTATAGGGACCGCTAAACATGCACCCAAAAGTAAACACATTTTTAATATTTGTTGCATTCAAATATTGACGGCACAGTCGGACCCAGACAACGCTGCATATTTGTTGGTGTGTTTTAGCTGACGTACGACCCTATAGTGTCTTAATTACTCAAAATATAAGGTGACTCACAGTGGAATGCGTGTTTTCAGTTCCGGTAACCAGAAGCTGATGAAAGCATTGAGGTGTAATGTATCGTGAGCATCCTTTGTTCCCGTTTGTCATGTTTAATTTCAGAAAATTGCATTAGATCGAAATAGTTTTCTCTGCATCACAGTTGTG